CAAACGAGCGACGGGACAGGGCTCACATCAAAGGCGCTGAGCCAGTGACGGAAATTCCACATTACCGTGGTTGAGCCACGTGACTTCACATAAAGTGGTGCAGGCTAAATTAACACTTGGACAGGATATTAACTCGCAACCTTGCAAAAGTTGAACGATCTAACCATGGCACTACGTGGGCTAAAGGAGTCATTACTCAAAAGCTATAAACCATTTGCACGGAACGTGCGGTTCCTGCTCATCATTTCTCAACGAGTCTGTCATCACAAGTCATAATTTATTGGCCTTTGCATCAACTCTGTGAAAGTTCTTGATGCGCCAGACAGTTACACAGTGCCACCAGGTGCCACGTGGTGCAACACCTTGCCACGAGCTGCCACCCGGTGCTACAAGCGACATGAGCTACCACACAGTTCCACGTGGTGCCACACGGTGCCACGCAGTGCATCGCGGTGCCACGCAGTGCCATGAGCAACACGAGTGACACGAGTGACACGCGGTATTACGCGGTGCCTCGAGTGACAAGTGGTACCACGCGTTGCCTCGAGCTGCAACACGGTGCCACAAGTGACATGAGCTGCCACGCGGTGCCACGTAGTGCCAAGTGGTGCCACAACTGACACAAGTGACATGCGGTGCCACGCGGTGCCACGAGCGACATGAGCGACACGCGGTGCCTCGAGCAACACGAGTGACACAGGCGTATCCACGCACCTCACATGTCCGCCGCACCGCACCACTTGCTCAGCGGGCCCACTCCGCTTGCTCAGCGGGCGCACTCCGCTCACAGCCGCAAAAAAACAAACCTCCAGTCAGGGGCGCCGCGATCCACCGTCAACATCAACGGAATCATCGCCCTCCTCCTTCTGGGTGGGCGTCAGCGAGCATCGCTCGGTGGAGAGCAGTGGGAAACAGAGAGGCCAGTTCGACAAGCGGAAACACAGTCACGTCGCGAGAATGTCCCTTGGTCCACGACCAACAAGAGAGAGAGGTGTACGGATTGACACTCAAAATAGCTCGGGCCTCCCGACACGCGGGTGCGTGGCGGAGGAGGCTGCTGGGTATCTGGGTACTCAGGGCTCCTGGCAAAGAATGAGTCGAGTAACTTTACTTTTTTTAACAGTTTCTGAGCACCCCCCCCCCACCACCATGGCTCAAAGCGTCAAGTGGCCGGCAACAAACAGCAGAGTTGTAACAGATGGTATTTGACATTTTTCTTGATTTGAGCCAGGACGTAAGAGCTTTGGGGAAATAGATGGGAGGGATTCCAGAGTGGAGATGCAGCAAAAGAGAAGTGTTACATGGCTGCAGTGTGGTTAGTGGGTGAGTTGGTGAGAGAGTGGGTGAGTAGGTGAGTGGGTGAATTAATGAGTGAGTGTTGTTGTGACCTGCAGTGTGGTGGTGGTTGAACAGTGTGGGATAAGACAAAAGCTTCAACATGAGTGTAGGAATGAATCAGTGAAGTTTGTGGGAACAGTAACCATGGTAGTAGCGATAGAAGAGTGATACGGAGAAGGCTGACTGCCGGCGAGCAAGTGATTGGAGCAAATCGGTGAGTATACAAGTGTACACTCACACGAATACAAAGTCAACGATAAAAAGAGCGGCATCTCCACTCAAATGAGCATCACAAGCAGACCCATTAACAACCTTTAGCCAGTGATGAAAATTCCACATTCCTATGATGGGGGTGATTATATACACAGAAAAATCACTGCATCATCATCATCAATGCACCACATCACCATCATCGCCACACAAAGCATCATCACACACGGCGTTAGCAAAATGCTAAGTGATTCTTGCTCAAATAAGCAATGAGACAGAGCCACCTGGCTGGATTGTTTATGCATTGTGCATGCATTGTGCATGCATTGTGCATGCATTGTGCATGCATTGTGCATGCATTGTGCATGCATTGTGCATGCATTGTGCATGCATTGTGCATGCATTGTGTATGCATTGTGTATGCATTGTGTATGCATTGTGTACGTATTGTGTACGCATTGTGTATGGCTATATGTGGGATGTTTGTTAGCCTTTACAGGTGCTCGCTAACAGTACTTTCCTCGACAGTCTATTAAGGCTATTTGGAGGATCTTTGTCCTTTATATGGGGGAGCGGTAGCGTCGTGGTTAGTGCGCTACACTATGGACCCGGTGATCAGAGTTTGATTCCTGCTCACGACCAACACCAGTAGCAAATTTCTTACATTGACATGCTAATCTCTCACAATACAATGGCCACCCCCACAGGTTCGTTTGTCAAGATTTACTCGATCTTACATTTATATGCAAATTTCCTCCCACTGACTCTTGGGCTACAACCACCCCAAACCTTCATAACTCCTTACCTTAGCAGCCCTCCCACCATATATTCTCAGCAGCTCTCCCACAATATTTCTCACCTGATGACAAATGCTTGTGTTGCGATCGAAACGTCGTGATATTATTATTTTTATTTATTTATCTATCTGTGTGGCTTCACCGAAGGACCCAAGAATATGAATTCCTGCACTCATCGAAAGCTTTAAGTCAAGATTCATCGTAGTGAGTTGGAGCGCATCAGATGGAATGTAGCAATTAGCTAAACCTCTGAGCCAAAGAGCGCCGACTTTTTCAGAACTTCGGATCCCGACTCCTGGTGCACACAGTGGCACCGCGGCACAATAGGGCACAATTACACGGCGATCGCACCGTACGCGACAACACACGCGCGCGGACGTGGTTGACACACGTGGTTGACACACGTGGTTGGCACACGCGGTTGGCACACGCGGTTGGCACACGCGGTGCTTTCTGGGCAGCAGGGTGCTTGGCGCAGTGGTGACACTCGTGGCCGCACAGCAAAAGGGACCTGGGTTCAAGTGTGGGCTCGGGTGCTTTTCTGCGTGCAGTTTGTATGTTCACCCCCTGGTTCTGCTGCGTGGGTTTCCTCTGGGCTTTCTGTTTTCTTCTCACACCTAAAATAACACACGATGTAACCGGTATTGGCCAAAACAGCCTCATGCTGAAAAATTACCTGCAAATTACTGAATTGTGATTACACACGGCAGTAGCATCGCCCCCTACTGCGAAAACCTGGCAGGACCCTCCTGAATAAAAGTATCATGACTCGGTAAACTAGCGGAATAATAAATAACAATAATAATAATCATATCAGTGGAAAATGCGAGCGGTGATTGGTGATTGGTGACGTGTTTCCTCGAGTGCCCTGGGGTCCGCGTGGGGAGGAGTGGGAGGGTGGGCCCCATGGGGAGGGGTGGGAGGGTGGGCCCATGGGGAGGGGTGGGCCCCATGGGGAGGGTGGGCCCTGTGTCACGAGTGGGGCATTGGGGCTGCACGGAAGGCGCAAACACGACGGCGCGCACGTGGAGGCCAAGGCTGCGCCACTCAGAGACGCATGACGACGCGGTGCCGGTGCTCATCGCAGCAACAGTGCGGCAGTGTTCACAGCCAATGTCCCGTGAGCAAAGAGCAGCAGACGAGCCCCGGCCTCTAACCTGGTCCCACGCATGCGCAACCCTGCACTCTCAGAGTAACGCTCGGCGAGCACGGCGGCGATGACACGCGGCGGACGCCACTCAGATCTGCGACTCGCCCTTCGACTTTTGTTCATCTCCCTTCACACGTTTTAATATTTCCACACAGCGTATCCCACTGTGCGCGCACGAGAGTGGCACGCCAATGCATGCCCAGGTGGGATCGACCAGCCGCACCAGCGACGACAGTGTTTGCGCCGCCGACTCGCGGCGAACCCCAAGGCTCGTTTACGCACGGAAACATTGTTTGGTTTAAACACACACACACACTGACAAAATATAAGAATAACACACCGTAAATACAGTCGTGTGATTAAAGGGCGTACTTTATCAAATGTGAAAATGCGAAGAGAGTACTGCCATGGTGCAATGAATGCTGCTCGGTGCACCGTTCGCCATTTACCACGGCTGTGGCTCGGCCTCATGCCGACTTCAACTCCCGGGGTAGAATTGGCACCGAGCTACAAGTGCCGGGACTCCTGTCTGCCACCGGTGTTTGAGGAAAAAAACATTCCCCCAAACACACTCCAGAGAGCGGTGGAAACATCTGTGGAAAACTTCCCCCCCCCAAAAAAGCGACTGGCGCTGACAAAAAAAGTTTCTGTGCCACTTGGGCAAATTACAAAACAGCTATACTGTACTAAACAAATAAACAGGTGAGGCTTTTTGTTTATTCTCAAGAAGGAAATCACGTTCAGTCTATCGGGCAGTGTACGGACCTTCTCATTATGAATCCCATTTGTTTATTAAAAAGGACTTTTTTGTACCGGTTTTGACTTCACCAAGCCTCATCAGAAAGAAGCGGCCTCATAGACCACAATGCTGCTGGTGTGCCCTGATATTACGAGCAGTGCAGAGGACGAACAGGCTCATCAGCTAAGTGGCAGCGGGGCAATCGTAATTGCAGATGAGACTCGGTGAAGCTGAAACCAGCCTGAGTCTCCAGCCTATAACATGAGAGCACCCAATGACGAGAGCTTAACAGGCCTTGCTGATGAGACACAATCAAGTCAAAGTTGGTCCACAATAGCCTCGTCAAAACAAAGGTTGAAACAAGAAGCTGCAGGAGACGTTACTGGCTTCAGGAGGTGAACACCCCCTCTCACCTCAATTATCCACTCCTGGCACTGAATTCTGTTTTTGTTGTTGTCATTTACATTTCAATTATCGTTGCCTTTAGTGCTTGTAGGTCACCACAGCAGCAGCGAATGCCAATGACTGTATTGTACCTAATGAGGATGAATCCGGTCTACGGATGTGTCTTTCGCTGCTGGCAGCTGTGATGACCACATCGTCTCAACACGCTTTACGTCGGTGGTTCTAAAAGCAAAAACGGTCACGCAATTAGTTCCTTTCTGAGCCGACGGTCGGCATAAGGGCGCCGCGAGCTGTTATGCCACGCGTTGCCGCTCACACCTTTTGCGTCGACTCTTGAGCGAGCGAGCCGCCGTGACCTCACCTCCGTCAATCGGGGAGCGAAGGCTGAGCAGCAGAGAACTGGGGCAGTCGAGATCCCAGGTTCCGGCGTCTGGCTTTAGAATCCAAAACTCCCCGACATAGACCGCTGGGCAGAGGGAAAACAACAAAGAAAATAAAAAGGGAAAACCATCCAGAAAAATAATCGCCGAAATGCTCAGCAGAGCAGAGCGGCTGGCTTGATGATCTTCCCGGTCGACGGTCAACGCAGTCTCGGCCAAGAGTTCACGGAGAGCGGACGGACTAACGAGCGCGGCTGGTCGGCGCGCGGTGATGCACTGAAAGCCGCGGGGCGGCCGTGCCAAAATGTCCCGTGCAAACGGCGATGAGGCAATACGCTCGGCGTCATGGCCATTTTTGGTCCAACAGTTTTAAAAAACACACACACACGCCCGACAGGCGCACATACACATGCACACACGCGGGCGCGCAGGCATGCACTGGACGGTGTCACGGAAAACTCGCCCGTGCAGCCCCCAGACGCCCTCCCTCCCCCCCTCTTTCCCCAGCCCTCCTCCTCATCATCATCGCGATGCCGTCACATGGTGCAAACTTCCTTCCAGGGCGAGAGGGGAGAGACTGAGGGGGAGGGCAGCTGGGAGCTGGCTGGTGTCCGGCCCCAGCCGTGAGGGGTGGAGGGTGGGGGGTGGCTGGCGTGAGGTGGGGTGGTCGGCGGCACTGGGTTGAGCGACTCCACGCTTGTGGAGGAGACCACAATCGCACCATTATTCCCGCCTGCGCAAAGCGCTTGCGCGCGCCGCTTGTTTTGCCTGCTGTCCCTCTCTGCCCTCCGTGCGGGTGCCCATCTCCTTCGACCCGCTCCCTCTCTCTCTCCGAGTTTATTACACTGTTTCGTTTCTTGCTTCTCTCTCTCGCGCTCAGCTCCCCTCTCTGTGGACCCTCGAGACTCACGGACTGAAAGTCACAGCGGCCGCATTCTGATTCGCAACTCGGGGCTCGGCCTCAGGATGCTCGCCGGCTTTCCGAGGACGCAAAATGTTGAGCGGCTCAACCGTGGGGTTCAGCTCAGGCTCAGGCTCAGCTAGGGCTCAGGCTTGTGAGAAAATTCAAAGCAAGGCTGGGACCGTGTGGCCTGAGCCAGCTCACATGAGTCAGAGTTGAGCGCAATGGCTATACAACTAAACATTTTTTATTTTACCAGGGAAGAGCCCACTGAGCTATGTAGCTATTTTAAGAAATGACCTGGCCACGAATGATAGCTCAACAACGAAGTAGCTTATCATTTGGAAATTTATAGCAGCCAAAACACTCTAAATACGTGATGTTGATTCTAAATGTGGAGGGAAAAACCGGAGAACCCGGAGAAAAAGCCAAGCGACCACGGGGAAAGAAACACGCACACTCCAAATATACAGGTGTCAGGGTCAGGATCTAACCCACAACCTGTATACCAGGCGAGGTAGTTAATATATTACCACCGTGGCTAAGAATACAGCCGCCAGTATTCCATTCAAGTTCTATCTCTCTGCCTGCGCATCAGTCACCAATCTATAGCACTGAGATCTGTCCTATGGCATGTGTCGTGATGGGTACTGCAAGATCCGAACTTGTCCGTCTAGTGCTCGCTAAGCTGCATTGTTTTCCGGTTGTCGAACGAATCCATTATAAGGTCGCACTCATTACACACAAAGTACTTGCCACAAAGGAACCACGATCCCTCGCTGATTTCGTCAAGGAGCATAAACCATCACAAGAACTCCAGTCGTCCTCATTGGCAGTGGCTTTTGGCTCACCATCGAAGCAAAGATGGTCACCACATTGCGTGCTTTCGGATGCGCTTCTGTGGCTGCCTGCAACGCCATTCCTTCCGATATTAGAAAGCCACTGGAGCTATGTAGTTTTAAATCATCCAGATTGAAAACTAATTTCTTTAGAACTGCTTTACGTGTTTAGTTTCATGTCTTTCCCCCGCACCTCTGATTAGCACAGTTGGCAACGTACGGTGCAAGAGAAGCTTAACATACGTACGCACATGACTGTTTATCCTGCGAGTCTTCGCCCCGTCACATGGCGTCAGAATGCAAGCCTCGCATTCAGCAGCCAATTCCGTTTCTCTGCACCATGATGCCCTGTCCATCTCTCCCCATTATCTGCCAGTAACAGAGATGATGATGATCATCAGTGTTTCTACGTGGGATCATTTGTACAACACTGCACGATCCACAGCACACATAGGAGGGCGAATACTAAGATGTGTTTCGCCAATTAATGAAAGGCATGGGAGGAAAGTGGGAGCACCTGGAGAAATCCCACACGTGTGATGGGGGTTACACTCAATCTCCATGCAGGTGGGACTGATGGAGATTAGACCACACCTGCTGTACTGCCTTCTCCTGATGAGCCAGGGTTATGGCACTTACTCAACGCCCATGGGAGGGGAATTTGGCCACTGCCGGATCACTGGCCACGTGCAACGTAGCCACGCCCACCGCTTGTTTAACCCCCCCCCCCCCCTTCTATGCACCGAGCACGACACGGCTGGATTCGTATTCAACGCCTTCAAATCCTGCAATCGTGACAGAACCCTCCCAAGTGATAACGGACACTGCCACATAAATGTGCGTGATATCGCAGTGCTGGCTACCACACAGGAGAACTCTCTGTGAGAGGATTTACCGAGACAAGTCTAAGCATCCTGGTGGACGATCTATACAAACGAGGAGATAAGACCCACACCTCTGAATGGGTAGAACAGCAACCTGGCTTCTTTACTGCAAAACCACGTGCGGGCGGGCATCACACACGCGTGCGGCGATTCACTGCAGGGTGCCGGGGTCCCGGCATCCACCACATCCCGTCTCGTGCCTGCTTGCCATGGCCTATTTCTTTTGTTTTCCGTATTTCTACCCCTTTTTGTTTTGTCTGTCTGTCCCCGTCCCTCCGTCTCTTGGGTTGTCCCTTGTGTTCACGTCCTCCACTTCCATCAACGACGATGGCGACGACGATGACAGCAACATTAAGGTTTCTTCCAAAACACAGAAGCTGTCGCCAAAAAACCACAGCTGTCTCCACGCCAGTGCCCCACACCGATTTTTGGCACTGCACATGTGCCCGGCAAAAAACAGAAGCCGGTTCTTATTAGCACCGAAAAAGCAAATTGCTGCAGAAAGCCCAGTATGACTGAGCCTTCTTCGTTGCTTCAAAACCCGACGTCGAGCGGACGCCGTTTATTCACGCCACGAGAGACGGAAGTCTCACAGGGGCCACAAGACCTGGCCACAGACGGTGTGCCAGACGTCCGTTGTTCTCGGGCGTGGCGAGCGGTGCGCTCAGGAGCGGCGATGCTGCGCCGCGACGTTTGGCAGCGGCGCGTCGACGACACCTCCCCGTCAAATTGACGGAACGTGGACAATATGATGCGAGACAACGGCACGACTCTCCTGTGTCCGCCACTAATATCTCTCATTGGCAAATCATAAAAAGAAAAAACTACCAGGTAAGGGCCACTGAGCTATACAGCTCTTTTCAGAAGCGACTTGGCCACAAAAGATAACTCAACAAAGCAGATTATCACGTGGAAATTTAAACCAGCCAAATACTCTAAATGCATGTTTCTAAAAAACCGGAGGACCCGGAGGAAAATCCACGCAAGCAGGTGTCAGGGTCGGGATTGAACCTACGACCTCCTGCATATCAGGCGAGGTAGTTAACATCTCGCCACCGTGGAACCTCTATCAATGGATCTGTGGTGGGCTAGGGGATCTGTGCTTCTTCCCCTTTTCTGCAGATCCCCGTGGACTTTCAGATAAAAGTGTGCATATTGCGGAGTGACTGCTTGTTTGATAAGATGGGTTCTAGGGAGTGCGATGGAGAGCACTTCTCCATGGACCCTATCGAACAATCTCCGCATTAAAATCAATAAAAAATTTAATCTGGTGAGGTCGCTCACTATTGCTTTCAAGCGTTTGGACGGTGTCCCGGTCTCATCAGTACCCCCAGTGAGACGCGATCGGAGCTGTAATTGCTCTTCTACTACAGAGCAATTCTCTGGAGTCCCACGAGAGTATCGTACAGGCTACCTCGGCAACACGCACACACACCTACGCCAAGATCGAGGCTCCTCCCCAAGGGCAAGACTGGGCCACGTTTGTCCACACGTGCGACGTAGGCACAGTGCCCACTCGTGAGTTAGGTGCTGAGTAATCCTGTGCCGGATACGAACAGCTGCCAATGGGGGTGCCCTTCGCACGTTTGAAATGAGATGCAAGCAGCTCACCATGCGTGAAACGCTCCCCAAATTTTCCATTTAAATGGGCGCTTCTCAAAAACTAAATCGGCATCATTCTTGTTCTTATTTTTTCATTCTTATTTTTCAGTCACTATATTTTCATTTTTATTATTTTATTGTTATTATTTTTTCTATCTACGTGACTTTACCGAAGGACTCAAAGAATATTAATTCCTGCAGTCACGAAAGCTTTAAGTCAAGGCATCATTCTTGATCGATGTAAACAGAGTGCAACTCCCCTCGCCCACGGATCCTCTCACCGGTAATCCTCTCCCCAGCTGAACACCGCAAAACGAAGAGTATCACTGTATACAGCTGCTTACCCGCCAAACGTCTAAATGTCTGGCCAGATCCATTCACGCGTGGGCGATTACTCTATGGTGGCCGTCGTAAATACACGTCCGCGAGAAACATTTAAACAATCGCAGGGGCAGGGTGAGCGATTTTTTTATTCTTAAGTGCAAGCAGAGGGGAGCCTTGGGAAGTCGTAGGGCAATACACCGCGGAAGCCAACCCCGACGGGGGGGGGGGGGGTTCACCAAACTCGAGTATTGGTAGAACATTCCGTCGTTACTCAGGGACTTGACTATCTGCGAATCGTTACATCTGGAACTCTACACTACTGCATCGAGAGGAGAGAAAGTGATGAGATAAGGTGATGATGCACAGCATCATTATCACTTAAGGGAAGTCTTTCAACTATCATTAATACATTCATATTTATTCTTATTTACTTTATTTATTTATTAGCGTATTCATGCATATCTTTACGTTAATTCAAAGATAGGCTTTCGTAGACCAATACCATTAACTGCAAAATGTGCTATTCACGAGCACCT